TTTGGAGGGCTAAAGTTACAATAGATCTTATAGGTCGCGGTAACGAGAGGGGCCGCCCTCCTCAGCCCGGCAGCAATAATAATAATAAAGTACGGAGGGAGACAAATGGGGGAATGGATCCAAAGAATATGCCAGCAAGAATGGGATGGAGAAGTCATACCTAGAGATTGGGAGGAAAATATCATTATAACAGTATTATCAGATTGTGATAACTATAGGGCCATCAGCCTGTCATCATGCATACAGAAGTTATACTCGAAGATAATCGAGACAAGGATTAGACGTTACACAGATAAAGACCTGCAGGAGGAACAAGCGACATTACGGAAAAATAGATAAACGCAAGATCACATATTCACATACATACAATTAGAGCAAAAGCAGAGAAGAGATTAGAAGAACCATAACATATATACCTGGCATTCTTAGATTTGAGTGCAGCGTTTGATGGTATACCAAACAAGAATATTTGGCGGCTCAAATAACTGGCAAGTTGATCACAGTTACAAGAGCGTTGTACAAAAGAACAACAGGAATAGTCAGAATAAAGGAGATGGAGTATAAAAGTTTCAATAGGGAAAAAGGAAGCAAACAGAAAAACTCCCTTAACCATCCCCTGTTTATTATGGTAATGAACCAAATTTTAAATTAAAGTAAAGATACGACACTGAACCTAAAACTCGCACATTGAAAAATGGAAGAGGTTGGGTTGGGTTGAGTTGAGGTGAAGAGATAAGCCTCCAAAGTCTTCTATATGCAAATGACATAGCATTACTGGCGGACAGAGTCAGGAAGTTGTAAGCCACAGTCAACAAATAGAATATCAATGTACAAAATGCAGGAATGGAAATAAATGCAAAGAAAAGTAAAATAATGAAGACTCACAAACTAATTGACAACGAAAAAGAAGACCTAAAGATGAGGTTGAATGAAGTTGGATGGACAGCATTATCAATGCGATTCAGCAGAGGGAAAGGAACGTCGAGGAAGTAAAGAGGATCGAGGACCCGATGCTGTAAGGTACAAGGCAAAATGCAAAGAAGAAGAAAATAATGGAATGAGCCGAAATTAGTGACACAAAACTGGTCAGCTTTTCTGATTTAATCTGAGAGCATCACAGACAACCCAATCTCGAAACGTTTCCTTTTAAATCCCACAACTACAATCACAATAAATATTACTGTCATCAAAATCGTACTGTCGATTCGATGTAACTTTGATTTTGCGCATTTTCCCTTTTTTCAGCAATTAGTCCTTACACTTACAACCGATGTATCACCAAAACGTGCTCGTGATTTCATTTTATTTTTATCCGCATTATTTGGCATATCACGTATATAATCGTAAGGTTACCTTTCAGATTATTCATGTAACTTCATCTCGCAGTCTATTTACATGACTGGTTCTCGTAAGTGAGATTAACTGCATCAGTGATCATGATACTGTCACTATGCACATTTATAAACTATGTGCCAAAAAAATTGCAACACCTCGAAAGAGCTGAATTACAAAGCTGAAATTTTTACAAGTAATTTGTATTTATTTCAGTAGTAAATCATATCAATTGAAAAAAAATACCAACAATTTATGTCAATAAAATGTTACATCTCCATGATTGTTTATACACTGTCTAACTCTGCGAGGCATGTTCTGAATGAGATGATCAATGGTATCTTGTGGAATCACATCCGAAGGTGTTTACTGCTTGTGGTAAACGCCTTATATAGCGACCCATCATATCTCACACATGCTCGAGCGAGCAGGCCAGGGGAGAATTTCTACTCCTTCTTTATCTAGGAAGTTCTGACAGATGTGGGCGATATGAGGTTGGGCGTTACCCTGCTGAAACATGATGTCAGGGCGTTCAACACCAATTGCAGCCGAAGAACGAAATCTGTCTGTAAGACTCATTTGTCTAAGATGAGATCTTCACGTTCGTTAGTCGCTCGAGGACGTCCGTATCCAGGACGACGATTTTATTTATGTTGTTCAGACCACGCAGTCCATGCTCGAAGCACTGTTGTAAGGTTTCGATTCAATCTTCAACCAATTTCACGAAACGGAAAACCTGCCTCGTGCAGGCCAACAATTCGCTCTCTTTCAAAGTCAGACAATGAGTTAACAATCGAAGAAACAACGTTCACTCACCAATTGGCATTTACTTTTTAACTGCAGTTTAAGTGATATCTTGTTTTCTGGTATACCTTTTGTTTGGAGTACAAAAGTCGCAATAACCGAAGATGTACGGCATCAATGCCACCAGATCTAATTCAACCCTGGACTCCCAACTCTTACTCCTCACGAGATAGACCTCTATCTAAAAAACAACTATGACTCATTCAAGTATCTGTAAGTTCGCGTATGATCAGAAACGTAAAAGTTTGCTACCTAATGGCATTTATTAACCAACCTTACAATCTGAGTGTATGCACCTACTGTATAATCTATACAACATACTTGTGGACGAAATCTGAATTGCTCTGGATTACAAGTTACACACCGGTGTTGTTGACCATGACGCGGCAGATATGAGTACTTCTCGATAGGAAGTTGCAGCTCAGCACCTCCCGATGACGTCATCCGCTCAATGTAAATGTATAGGGAGGAGAGCCAACCAAAGTTTAGGGGAAAAAAATTTACCCCTATGCACACGACGATTACAATTCTTTGGTGTGTCTTGTTTTCGCAATACATAGGGTCCTTCACACCTACCTTCCACTCTCCCACCCCACATACTCTCCATACCGCCTCCTGTAAAGTGTTTCACAGACAGTTTTTTGAAATTTCGAGGAGATATTGGAATGTATATTCTCCTCCTCCGAAGAGATGTGCTCCTCCTCTTTTTCGTTTGATTGATTTTTGTAAGTTGAGTGTTTTTTGAGATAATTTAAATTTTAATTTGTCTTACACAAATTAATATTTCGCTACGCATGCGCTGTTAAACATAACCCAAATGTTCTCAATACAACGTAATTCTCTGACCGCTACTTTTCGACTTTTCTGGTATGGTTGTTTCATTTATATATATTCTTAATCAGACATTTAATTACAAATTAGTTAACATAAAATATACGAGCCCGTTTAAAATTGGAAAACAACATAAATCTTCAAATTTAATACCGAATGAAATTCCTAATCTATATTTGACAAGGTAAAATAGCTTTTAATTTTGATTGTATTTGTTTGTATTTTATGATTTTTCATAATCCTTATAGACTCCTGCTGATGGCTTAAGCCGAAACCGGTAGAGTCAACAATAAAAAATATATTGGAGATTAAGTACAGTTTTATTTTTCAAAAGAAATAAATTTGGTTGATATTAATAGTAAATAATTTAATAACTAAATATCTGGCGATTTTTAAAAAAAGTAAGTAGAAAAAATCGCGCCAGTGGAACTAACCAAATTTTTTTTCCCCCAAACTTTGGTTGGCACCGCTCCCTATACTTTTACATTGAGCGGATGACGTCATCAGGAGGTGCTGAAGTGCAACTTCCTATCGAAAACCCAAGGTCTATAGAACATAAGGTTACCCAATACCGATTCTCCTCCTCTGAGAGGCAAGGTGGGTCAGTGACGTAGCTGGTTCTATGAACAACACAACACGATGCGAGGTTTAAATATTTTATATAGACTGTACCACAGTATAGGCACGTATAGGCTATCTTTTATTCTGACTGTATCGAACCAGTGACGTCAATTTGCGGGGTAATAATCGATACTACAGAGGCATAGGGAATGAGGTAACCTTATGTTCTCTAAACCTTGTCGAAAACCCACGTTTCTATACTATTGATATGCCATGCTATGATATTGCATAACCACAGCTGATTATAGCTTGAAAAGAATACTAATCGGAGAGAGACATCGCCTGCATTGTACCAGTTGTCCAAACGCGAGATATTCAAAGAGATTTATCTCTCGACAGTCCCACTCTTTCTGATAGTTTTTTGTTGTGCTATATCCTTTATTGACAATAGATATCTTTTTCGAAGTTTCTTGTCCACAACAGAATCATGTTATAGATTGAAACTGTTTATGTAAGGGGTCGAAATCTTCGGAGTTTTTTTAAACACATCTCCAAGTTCTAGTCTATTTGACGAGTGTTTCCAGCTTTTTTTTATTGCCATTTCTTGCATCCCATTCGCCAGCGGTCGTTATCATTCTAATCATAATCACCCAGTTCTCTCCTCTTCATCTCCACATTGATATCCTGGATACATTTTCCTGGCACCCAGTTCCAAACCTTAAGTAGGATTCTCTCTTTACTCATTCGGTGTAGATGTCCATACCATTTTAGTAGCTTTTCATTTATAGTGTCTACTATTGAGCTTTGTGCCGTCATTCTTCCTCTTATTTCCTCATTTTCAACTCGGTCCAGCGTGGCTATGCCGCGGTATCTTCTCCAAAACATCATCTCTGCTGCTAGCATCTCCAAATCTTTAATAGAAATGGAATTTTGCATGGTCTGGACAAGGAAATTTTTATTCATCTTCGAAACTAAGAAACTTCGAAGCTAAGGTACTTTGCATCTATATAACATTTTATTTCCTTACATTAATCCGTTTAATCATTTTATACATTAATCCCAGACACATTCGTTGCTATCTTATGAGTATGGATTTAATTTGTAATAAATCTTACCATTAAAATGAAACTATTTTCGATTTCTAATTTCGACGAAAAACCTTAAAAATTATTAATTTTCCTCTAAAAATAGTTTCTTTAACATTCTGTATAATAGTAACCCTGATTTTTTGGAAATATAAACTACATTCTCACTTTAAATATACAACGCGCACATTTGTATACATTTTGTATAACCCAAGTTTTAAAACGAAATTATTTGAAATTAGTAACGATCAGTTTCGTTCAGATTCGTTCGAGATTTCTTCGAGATGAAGGTAAAAAATGAATCAATATTCAATTTTTTTAATTAATAAATTACTTCTTTGTATTAATTTCATACAGATAATTTTTTTAAGAATAATAAAATTGTGGTGTTTTTCTATTATAATAAATTGGTGTGTTGGACAAGATGATGACTGTTTGAGAATGTGCAAAATAAAATGTTTAACGAAAGAATGCCAAGAGAAGTGTTGGGTACAAGAATGCAAAAAAGAAAACATATCGTATCCATATAAAGGAAATTTAACACAATCGTTTGAAGGAAATGTTGACGTCTCTATTAAGATAAATAATACCTTGAGGAATGCACAAAAAATTGAAAATCCCGTTAGGATTTTTAGTACAAGTATAAATAATATTAAAATTATTGCAAGTGCTGAAATCAATGATGATATAACAATAAACGAAAAAATTCTTCAACCTAAAACTGAAAATTTTAATAAAAACGAAACCAAAAATCAAACAAAAACTAATTTAACTCCAAAATTTGAAAATCCAAACTTATATTATCGAAATAATCAAATTCCTTTCAATTATTATTATTACATACCACCTCAGCGATATCATTTAACACATCCAACAAATATCCAACAAAACCCACAAAAACCTCGAATTCAATCACGTAAGTAATTATTTATAAAAAATTTATAAGATTATTTAGAACTGTCTTTCTTTTTAGCGTGTGAAGGGGGTTTGTTAAAGTGTTAAATAAAATATTTACCTTCCCATTACGAAACATGCAAGAAATTCGCTTTTTAGAATTGCTGTGTACCTAATGTTCAACTCTAAATAATACTTGAGTCAATATGTATGTACGAGATGTAAGGAAGATAAGCAATTTGGAACGTTGAACTGAAGCTAACCTAAATAATATCCGCAAATATTGTAGTGTGTGGATGTTCTAAACCGTTCTTTTGTAGAAAATAAAATTTTTTAAATATAATATGTAAATTTAAATTTGAATAAAATCTTTGTAAATATCGAAGATATTTGGCAACAATAAGGAAATTATTTTTATTTTGCGTATAATGTGGGGGAAATGATGAAATATTCAATTATATTTTTATTCGTTTTCATAATTATATACAACATGATTGGAATTAATAGTACAAGTGTTTCCAACTAAACCCGACGAGGTTAAAAATGTTTATGTACCGGTTCCTGTACATATACTCTGTCATATTAAAGACCCACCACCTCCGATTCTCTCTTTATTCATTCAGCGTAGATGTCCATACCATTTTAGTTGCTAAAATTATTTATTATTTTATTGGAATGAATTGTTGTGTTAATATGTTGTAATACTAAAAATGGAAATTGAAAGTAAGAACAAATTAAAAAGAAATAAATATATTTGTAAAATGAGAATATTTTAATTTCCTTATTTTTACCTAAGTTATTGTTCCACCTCAAACAATACAGCAAGAATTTCTAACCGTTTAGAGTGTAAAGCGCTTTGCCCACTCTCACTTTGTACTACTATTTAAAGTTTACTTCCCATCATAACTTATCTTGTTCCCTACATATTCCAAGTATCCCATAAAAATGATTTTGTCGTCTTCAGCTAGATCCAAGTACCCACTTTATCAATAAGGTATATGGGACTCTGCTTTCTCTCATCCCAAGAATTGACTTACTCTTCGGCTTTCGCGATAGTCCATAAGTAATCTGTTTTCCATAACACAACCCCCGCTTTGCTACTCCCCTTAATAACAACACCTCTCTAAGCAATGGGTATTATCGAGTCATCGGTTTTGAATCATTTCAAGAAACTGCATTAAACTCAAACAACTTCGTACTGATTTCGCCAGTGTGATATTTATCAATAATATCTTCATCGCCTTTACCACGTAGGAACCACCTGTAACCACTTTCTGCCGCAAACGACCTCGAATTCAAATGGCTGATTAGAGACCTGCTTAGAGACATGATTAAGCTTAGAGATGGTCTTTACAGCAAATATAAAAAGTCTAAAACTGAACTAGCACTTAATGAATATAAATCATCTTTTAAAAATAAAGTTCTAGGGATCTCTGGAAATCACTACGGCATCTGAATGTTACCAAATCAAAAGAGCAGGTACTTCCACAACATTTGAATGACGTTGAAGGCATTAATGATAATTTTTTGCAAGCTGCTGAAAACTCAATGATCGCTGATCCAGACTTAAATCAGGACTACGAAAAAGTCTACCTTTAATGAATTGGTTGCTTTTGTGCCTGTCTCGGAGCATATTGTAGCGGGCCATTTGTTAAATATCAAACCTGGCAGTGTGGGATATGATGAACTCTCGTTTGTGATGATCCATTACTGTTGTCCTTTCATCATTCCTTACATCACACATATTATTAATATATGCTTATCGAGATCAATCTTTCAAAACTTTAGTAACACCTTTGCCAAAGATAAAAAATCCTGTGGCATTTTTGGACCTACGACCAATTAGTATTTTACCTGTTTTGTCTAAAGTATTGGAAAAACTTATGAATGATCAAATTCAGGAATTTGTCGATAAACTTAATATTTTGCCTACGACATAGTCTGGATTTCGTGCTAACTACAGTTGCGATACAGCAATAACGCATATAGTTGATGACATATTGTTTGAGGCGGATCAAAATAGGCTTAATGGATTAGTTCTGCTAGAATACAGTAGGGCCTTTGATACTGTCAATCATAGGATGTTATCAGCTATCTTATACTTTATTGGCTTCAATGATTCTGCTATGAGCATGATTGATAGTTATGTGTCAGACAGACAACAAGCGGTTAAATTGGATGATCGGAGATCTGAACTGCAAGGCTTGAAGTCAGGAATGCCACAGGGTTCTATCTTGGGGCCTCTACTCTCTTGAANTTTTTATTATATTTTGTTTATTTTTATGGCAGGGTTGAGTGGAAGAGAAGACGATTGTCTTAACTTCGCCCTTCCCAACCAGTTAAATTTATATTGTTATTTTGTGAAAATTCTGATAAAGTCTATTATTATTAAATTCGCTGCACCTGAGGCTTCAATATAAGCTACTCAACACAGCATGGATGTGATATCAATTCACCACGCTATTCAACCTCGGTCGCAAGCAACCTCAGCTTGATTAGATGGACAACCTCGATTTCCAGTTAAAAAGAAGTTGATTAAGGCCGAGGTGTTCTAACATAAACTGCTCATATTACTTGCATATGAAATTCTACAAGTTATGGACCAATGAAGATTACAGAAAAATAAAGATTTTAATAAATACAAAGTTATTATAGATGGCTACAAGAACGCTGCGAGGAGATTGAAGACCTGCAAAATACAACATCAAAACCGTGCAGAGATCCTACGATATGTGGGAGTTA